CATTTTCCACTCGGATATTTCAGTTGGAAATTTTTGACTACCTTTCAAGACGTTCCTTTTATTTCGAAGATTTTCCGGTCGGTCGAGCCAAAATTGTCTTACCATTTACATTTTTACCGAACTTTCAAATCTCAAGAGTTTTCATTGAATATTGTAAGTGAGATAGAAAAGTTGGTCTTACCTGGTGGTGGACGAGTAGGCGTGGGTCGAGCTGACGAAGAACAAAGAAAATTTCAAAAGATCAATATCAATAGCGCGATATCGATATTAAATTGAAAACTTCTTTTAACGATAATTCTGAAAACAAACCTCTGAAACACTTCTTTTTCAGAGCTCCGAGTTGTCTCCCATTCAATGCTCGATCGTAAATCTGAAGACATGCTATCCGGCCACGGAAAATCTTTCGATCTCTTGGCTTTTTCCCTGATATAGCTGGGTAGTTAGTCGCCAGTTGGATCTTTCCAATATTCCTCTGAGATATAGGTATGGCATCATTCCACAGAGTGGCCAAACCAGTGACGTAATCGTAGGTTGCCGCTATGTAGTTCCAGGCCTTCGGTTTGATTCGCCGGCTTGTAACAACGCTGATGGTCTGCAAGGACCTAGGCACGAACTTCACCAGTAGGGTGCGCGGATTCTTCATCCAAAGATGTACCCCCCAGCCGCGAGGGAAGAAGTGGAAGATCGGTCCGCTGCCCTCAGGGTAGACCCACACCACTATGGTGAGGGAATTCTTTGTATCTAGGCAGCCCTTGTTGGGAAAGTATATGTAGCTGTTTGCGATGCCCTGGAGATAGTACGATCCAAGAGGAAGGCCGTCTGGGCCTGGTGCAGGCTTGACGTTGACAAGTCTTGCAGCAGTGTTGCGGTTGATGCTTATATCTCGTCCTCTTGTCACACCGTTAAATGGGAATATAGCTCTGGCGGCTGCTGATCCGGTTACTAAACAGAATAAAAACGACAACGATTGAATCGTTTGTGGTAAGCAAGGTAAGGAGGTCACAAAGATCTTTAAATGAATCAATGGTAAGTTAAGAAGAGGCTGAGGGCCAATTTAAACCAAACATCAAATTTAACGCGTTGTTACTTGAATTATATTCCGATGGCTTAAAAGGCGGCTGATCTGTAAAGTGATCCAGGGCTTATTATAACCGTTAAACGTAATTGCTTTTTTAACTGTTGCAAATAGAACCGTTGAGATTGTTATTAATGATATCAACTTGTAAACTGTCACTGTTCGATTAAGTGGGTTAAAGACTATTCTTAAGCAGGATAGTGTGTGTGAACATGACTGTGAATTATTGATCACAAATTTAACCCATAAGATACCTGAACATGCTTTAGCTCGTATGGCGCCCAGAACTGCAGCCAACGTCCTCGGCGTCGTCGTGAACACGTGCAGCCCATTTGTAGCGATTTTGAATAACTGCGCCTTGCTAAATCGTCTACCAAAGCCAACAACGAACACTTCAATTCCCATGCGCCTTAAAACGCGTCCCACTCTTTGCACTCTGTCTACTGAGCGTGCACTTGCAAACACCACGAGAACGCGCTTGCGTCCACATTGACGCCTCCTTCTGAACAGGTACCTACGAGCGTAGTACAGAGCTTTTCCTATCCTAAGAGGACCCCTTTGAAGGCGAATTCTTCGTATGGCCGACAACATGGAAGACGCCCTGAAAAACCGGTTAAAGCGGAACAGGAGCCTGGGTCTTGACGCGTACGTAACCATGCCGACTCGGGTCTCTTGAGTGGAAATGCGAAGCGTGTAAAGAAGTCTTGCAATGTAACGTGTAAGAAGTCTGAAAGCTCCGCGCCCTACTCGTCGCAAGTTGTAGGAGCTGTCGATAAGGAATCCAAGATCCATATTCGCTCGGCAAGCTACAGAAAGAAAATATAGAGAACAATAAATTCAAGCAAAGCGCATTTTGAACTTGAGAAGATTGCTATGACGAGAATGTTTTAATAATCAAACATTGAGAACTCAAATTAAAATGTGATCATAAAGCAAACCAATTTTCAAATTTTATGTTTTGCTTTTTTCGCATGAAGGCAGAGGAGTTTTTTTATTACCGCTAACTAAAACCGCACACTTTTAAGATTCGTGAATATACATATCTAAAAGTATGCCAATTAAGGGATAAACTGAAGTGAAGGAATCGGGATAAAAGAAAAAAAAAAACACGGAGAACGAAAAATCAGATTTTCCACTAATTGGTAAAGGTGACTTCATTTTTAGTAAAGGCGACTTCTTCCTTTCTCCTCTGGTCGCCTATAGAGAGACGGGAAAAATGGAGAAAGAGCATTGCTGATTGGTTACTTACGCCTTGGTGGGGTGGGCTTGGTAGGTGTCGGTCGCGTTGTTGGTTTGGTTATAACCTCTGTTTAAAGAATGAAAAGCACGATAGTGATAACGTAAAAACTTTTAACAACTATGTAGCTTAAATTAGATGCAGAAATTTTGCCAAAAAAAAAAAAATCAATCGATCGATCAGTAATGGACCAAGCAATGAAAGCATTAATAAACAACAAACAAACAAATCAATCAATTCGATCTATCAAGCTATCGATCAATTATTCAATACGAATCACTCTTGAATCGATTCATCAACTGATAACAAGTAAAGAAAGGAAAAAAGGTTTCTTGGAACACACCTCAAATCTTTCTGAGATGCTTGTGTAATACGAATGCAAATTTAATTAAGAATTGCTTTGCTTACTTGTCTTCAAGCAGAGTCTCTTGGCGGCTTTGATTTGTATCGGTCGAAGTGGGACGTCGTAAATCTGCAGGCAAGTTATTCGTCCACGGAAATAACGCTTGTCTCCAATACGGGCTCCCATTCTTGCTGGATAGTTCGTAGCCAGTCGTATCCGGCCGATTCTCGTCCACGCAACTTCCCTGTAATCGATGTACAATCGGGCAATTCCCGAACGTTGATCATAGGTAGCGGTGACGAAATTCCAAGCCTTTGGTTTAATGAGGTTCGTTTGCACTGGCTTTGTAAACTTTCGTGTACGCGTCACGAAACGTACCAGCAACACTCGCCGACGGACCATCCACATGTGCACGCCAAACCCGTCAGGCTTGTAATTGAAGATTGGACCAACTGGTCCATCCGGATTTATCCAAGCCAAGATAGAGATGGAATTCCGGGCGTCCAGACGACCTTTATTCAGGAACTGTATGTAACTGTCTGCACGACCCTTGAACCTAAAGGAGCCACCAGGCCTTCCGTCTGGACCCAGGCCAGGTCGCACATTTGCCATGCGCCCTGACGGGTTTTTGCTCCTGCTGACGTCACGGGTGTTGTAACGCACGTTTAAGGGATAGAAAGCCAGAGCTGGAGGCAATGCTAGGGAACAGAAAGAGAGAAAAAATGATCCTTTCGCACTATTCAGACACACCTTAACCGTGACAAATTGAATGATTTATAGAACATTACAGTAATTAACACAAATTGAAATATATGCAAATCAAACACTTACCAGGAGATGGTGTTGTTGGCGTGTAAGGACCTGTAAGTAATTTAAATAGGATCAGTAGATTTAAAATTCAGAAAAACCATAAAAAAAAAGATTAAAAAAAGTATTGCAACTGATGTATATATTTACTGCTTAACAGAGTGAGAGCGTAATCTCTTCTGAAGTCCGGGAACAAAATAGTAGAATCCCTTTATCAAGTTTGAAATCAATGTAGAAGAACGAGAGGTTTTAGATAAATTACTTTCTTGGAGGGTAAGCTGGGGCTTCGCCTATGGGGGCTGGGGAGAGTGGGTGAGAGAAGAAAATATTTACCCCATAAGAGTCACTCGTCTTATCCCTTAAGTAATAATCCGCATGCAAAAACAAATATTATTGGCTGGAAATTTATTTATTGCAACCGCATGTTACAAGCCTACATGAGAATTTTACGGATTCCACTTCAAGACTTATATGGCTTACCTGGTTTATTACAAAGGTTCTTGACCTTCTTAATCTGAGGTCCAGTCAGAGGGTCAGAATAAACCTGCATACAAGCGATGCGACCTCGGAATGTTCCACCCATGTAAGCAGTCTTTTTGGTCGCCAATTGAATTCGTTTGATATTCTGCGACAATATCGGCCTTGAATCCAGCCACAGGGTAGCCATACCAGTTCGTTTATCGTACGTGGCACCGACGTAATTCCAACGGCGTGGTCTGAGGCGTCGTTTCATCAACACCCTCGTGCGCCGCCCATTCCGGCGGATGAAGTGAACGTATAACGTGTCCGAGCGCACAACCCAAAACCTTACTCCTCGAAAGTACTCGAAGATTGGACCGCGACCAAACGGTAGGATCCAGGCTAGAAGAGTTATAGAGTCCTTAGCGTCCAGTCTGCCGTTATTTGGAAACCGGATGTAGCTGTTACGGCGACCAAAGAATTCTGTTGATTCGCCAGGCTGTCCATAAGGACCAGGAGCGTACCGGATGTTGTAGCTTCGACCTGGAAGGTTTTTCCCTGGGCTTATGTCGCGTGCGCGAGTCTTGCGATCGAGTGTGTAGATGGCGATGGGCGTAGGAAAACCTGACAGAAAAAAACAAAAAACAAAAAGACTAAGTTTACAATAAACAGCGGTAAAAGTTAAAGTCTGCATACGAGCCAAGTGACCCATCAGACTGGAGTTTATCCCGGTTTTTGTAGCATGACCGACTAGGAGTATTTCTACTCCCCCATAGATCGTATGCTAGTCCATCGTAAGGTAACCACAACATTAAATTCGCAGGTACCCATCTATACACCTGGAGAGAGGCACTGGGAGAGTTAGGTGTCCTACCCAAGAACACAAGGCAGCGTCCCCTTGAGCACTTGGCAGCGACCGTTTCAGTGATCCGGAGCGCTCTAACCATGAGGCCACCGCGGAAACTGCGCTAACGGCCAGAAACTTAAGAAAACTGCAAACAATTGTCTACTGTTCTCGAACAACATAACTACATGATTACAGTATTTCCATAACAAACTTACTTGGTTTTCTGGTCGGAGACGGCTTGGTTGGTCGAACTGTTGGCCGTGTCGTAATTTGTGCTGAAAGAAAGATGCCACTTTGCAATTAGCTTATATCCCTGACGAATTACAGCGAGCAAAACTATTAAGTACCACTACTCTTAATCCTGCGAGAAACCAAAATAAAAAAAGAAGCTCCACCTCTGTCTTTCGAAATTCAAAACCCCGAAAACGATGAATAGACTCGTTAAATTAAAAGGTAATTTTCAGAAATTGTCGAATAGTATATTTTGCTGGCTCCCCTGCAGTACAAGTCGTAATTTCCTGTTCAGGTCCTAACTCACCGCAAGGGATATACTGTGTAATAAGAAATGTGGCAACAATAAACAGTCAGGTAGTGTTAAATACCTCTGCAAGCTTTCCTGACAATGCTCTTGACGATGCCATTAAGCGTCTTGAAGTTCACCATGTATATGTGGCGAGAGTCTGTGGCTATTGTACTCAGCTCGCTGTTCCTAACTCGAGTTCCAACACCAACTGCAAAGGCTTCAATTCCGGCTTGGTGTATCTGAAAGCTTGGTATTTTAACGCTGTCGTAGGATTGACCATTTGTTACCACTATCAACACCCGCTTTTTTCGGCTGCGTCTAAACAGCTCTCCAACTACAAGCCGCAATGCTTTTCCAGTTTTTCTTGACCCTCGTGTATAACGTAATCTCTTGATAGCACGATTGAGGCTGCGTGAATTAGTGTACGAATTGAGTCCGAATTCCATCCGAGCGGTGGATCCGTACACGATGACTCCCACACGAGCTCGGCTTCGGGAGATCGAGAATGATCGGGCAATGAGTGCGACAAACTGTTTGATTCGCCTGAAGTTGTATAGACCGCGTCTACCAGAGGCGTCCAGGAGAAAACCAATATCAATGGCTAGGCTGCAAGCTGAATTAGAAACAAGGATACAAAGTGAGATTTGAAAAAGAAAACATAACAGGGTATGCATCTACGTAGGCAAACATGACACAAATCGTTGCGCAATTCTATGGAATAAATTAAGATACAAATTTAAACCGTTCTACAGGGAGCTAGGCCTCAGTTGGGATGGCAATATATAATAATCTAAAGAACGATTTACTTCAAAGCGCTCTTTCTCTCAACAGAAAGAAAGTACAGGAGAATGGCTGAAGTTTCATTGCAACGTTATCTTTTTAAATGATCGTGCCATGGGATCTAGAACCTTATTAATACACAGCTGTTGAAGAATAGCATGATTACTAGAACAGAGAATGACAGACATGCAGTTAAACATGTTCTCTAGACACCAACCAGCAGTAACTGGTATGAACTACTTCTGTGATGTGAACACTCGGTTTCCCCTGTGTTGGCTAGATTAACAAGTTTCGACTTTGCATAGCTTACCTGGTGGTGTAGGTCGCTTTGTCGCTGGAAGTAAAAAGTAAAAACAAAACCAATTTAAAATGAAATAAAACTAATCTACGATCTGGAAGGACAATTTGTGGATCACGTGATACGCGAGTGGACGTTACGATCTCAAGCTAAATATGCATTGTTGAAGCTTATGGAAAATTACCCTATATAGCTATCAATGGTTCACAAGTTCACTTTGCATTACTTTACTTACTTACATTACATTCTTTAACATTATTTTAATATCAGACGTTAACGGAAAATTACACCTGCATAACTGTAACTATGAAGAGCTAACCCTAACTGACTTGAGGTAACTCCCCTGAAATAAAACTGTCCCATTTCAGCATTATTTAATGCGTATTACAAGGACGCATTCCAAGTTATTGTAAACTCTTTGTGAGCCCAGACTCATAAAAACAAGCCCCAAACTACAGTGAATACTTGTGCCCCGGCTATCAAACTGCAAAATAGAAAAGACTACAGTACAACTGCTATTTTCCTTATTTATTCAATTTTCAACAATAGGAATCCGATCAGTCCATAAATTATGCGCAGTAAGGATGCGCAATGCAAATGTAAGGAATCACCATTCAAAAGTTTCGAAAGTTTCTGGAAAACTACCGAATTAGAACGCTACCTTACACTGTGGATCATGTCGTTCGCGAGTACTTGAGAGCTGAACTCAGTGGAGAAGAACTTAGTAAAAATTACTTACGTGGAACGAAAGGTAGACACGCCTTGTTCTTAATGGCGGCAAGTACACTACTCAGTCTCCTGAAGCCGGCCGTGAACACGTGCGATGGACTGGACGCCATTTGTTGCAGTTGCAGTCTTCTAAACTTTTTACCAATCCCCAACGAAAAGATTTCCACTCCCTTCTGCTTCAAACTGTTGACAGGGACGAGGACATTGTCTTGCGAAATGCCGTCCGTTATGATAACAAGAACTGGTTTTCTTCCTCTTCTCTTGCCTCGGCCAAATAAGTACCTGGAGAGAGATAAGTATGTATCGTGGTCTGAATTGTACTAAAATTTTTACTTTAAGAACTTAATTTTCTCTATCTCGCTAGACTTTGAAAGTACTTTTTAAGCATCTAGCAATGCAGACATCCCCTTAGTCATTTATAGGCGTAACTTGCTGTCAATTTAAAGGCGTGTACGAATCGCTGGAACCAGTGTTTCAAATGGGGTAAAAGGCTAACACAGGGTTACCATCATATGAGAGTATCGTAAAAAATCTGTTCCGTAAGTTTCGTCCTTCATATTACGGTTTAGCTTATCTTAAATTGTAACTTACAGCGGAAAAAACTGACAAACACTTTTTAGGTGAATGAACTAATTTCTGTGGCATGACTTCGAAAACTGGATTAGCATAAGTCGGATATGGGACAACTGGAACCTTAGCTTACAGAGGCACGGTTACATAGGATTTTTTCCCCTTAAACGCAAATAGCGAACAAGGGTGATGACTTCGACGCTTAACGTGAAAACGTTAATTTAACACTTCGCCAAATAGGCAACTGTTTTGCAAATACCCAAAATATGGGCGTTACAAATTCGCCCATCATACATCACTAAAGATTACTTTTCTGAACTGTATATTTTGGCCCCCAGCTCTGTGATTTAAGCTCCACGTTTGCCATTCCTAAATATAAATAGCACACCTTGAAACATATCTCAGTGCTCGTCCCAGCTTTGTTCCTCCATACGGGTATCTCACACGATCAACCGCCTTGATGAGACTTGTTTTTGAGTAATATCGATTAAAACGGAAGATCGGGTATGGTCGGCTGGAGAAGACTACCATGCCGACACGAGTCTGCCTTGCAGAGATCGGGAAGAAACTGATCAGTGTTTTGACGAAATCGAGAACGCGCATGAAATTTCCTTTCCCTTGATTCTCTATGCTTCCGGATCCATCCACGAGGAATGCCAGGTCAACTCTCAATCGACAAACTGTATTGAAATAAAACATCTGGCATTAGGTAAAGAAATTAGCTCCTTTTTAAGGAATGTCAGTTTGCAACCAGCATGTAACGCTTTTCCAATTACCCACTGTTACGATAGAGACTCGATCATAAAGTACGACGAAATGGATAGAGCGCGAAGAAATTAACAAAACCGCCTTTTTTCAGCATTTAAAGGTCTATGTTTTTGAGCTGTTATAATAAAGTCTGCATGCGAGCCAAGTGGCCCATCAGGCCGGAGCTTATCCCGGTTTCTGTAGCATGAAG